GATTTTATAAAGGGACAGATAACTTAATCTAATGATCGTGTGGGTGGGGGGAAAGGTGCTCACCTAAGTAACTTTAGAAAACAGTGCTGTGACCAGGAACTATGACACCAAAGATAAAGGACTGTATGTAAAAACTGTACTCCTGTTGGTAAAGTTGTTTCTCATGGGGGTCCTGGTTACCAATTCTGAAACTGCCGAATGTGTTATGCTGGGATTGAATAAGTAAATGGACAGTAAATGGTGGGAGCCAGGTTTCTCACTGTTGGAGAAGGAGGTTACTGATACGCAAGAAGAGGAAACTAGAATGATCTATGTATTAATGGATTAGTCCATTGGATTAGTCAGACATTGATAACTCATATTTAATTAAATATCGATAGTTACAGATAAATATTTATAATTTGTATGTACAGATATTAGCATATACACATTTATTTCTTTGGTCTGCCAGCTGAGAAAGCCTAAGAGAAATGACACCTGGTAGCAATGAGCGCATCTACCACCCAGATCGTGGTTTCTAATACCCTTCTCCAACAGAAGGAACCAGGGTTCCTTGATTAAATGGTTGGGGCAGAAAATATATAAGATGAGCCTGGAGCATCTTGGAGTTATAGAAGTAAAGAAATGCTCAAAAAAAAAAAAAAAAGGGATGTCAACTGGACACAGAAGCCACCTTGAAAGATTCTTAATCGTTAGGGGCTGGAACAAATTGAACAACAAAATAATAGAGTATTGGTTTAAAACTCAAAGCATAAAATAAATCCAAGCCCATGGTAACATAAATAAAGGGTTGAGTTAATAAATAAATGAGGGAGAAGACACCTATCTCCCGCAAATAACAATGCCAAATAAGTTGCATAGCTACTTGCCCCTTGAGGAGGTGGACCTTAACTCCTCTCCACCCTTTGAGTTTGGGCTGTGCTTAGTGATTCATTTCCAAAGAGCAGATTTATAGAAAGAAAGAAAAAAAAATAACTCTATAGTGGAGAAACCTGACAAACACTAGATAGTATGTATCCTTAATGTGATGTAATGAAAAGAGCAATTCACCTCTGTGGTCTTTCTCCCAAAGTCCATAAACCCAGTCAAATCATGAGGAAAAACATCAGACAAACCCAGGGACATTCAACAAAATACTTGACCAGTACTTCTCAAAACTATTGTGGTTATCAAAAGCATGAAAAATCTGAAAAACCGTAATGACTAAGAGGAGCCTAAGGAGACCTGACAACCACATGTAATATCATATCCTGGATGAGATCCCAGAACAGAAAAAGGACATTAGGTTAAAAACTAGTGAAATCTGAATAAAGCATACAGTTTAGTTAGTAGTAATGTACCAATGTTGGTTTTTTAATGTGAAAAATGTACCACAGTAATGTAAGACGTTAACAACAGAGAAAGTGGTACAGGAGATAGATGACCTCTTTGCAAAGTTTCCTGAAAATCTTAAACTATTCTTTTTCTTTAAAAAAGATTTATTTATTTGAGGGTGGGGAGAAGGGGCAGAGAGAGAATCTCTAGCAGACTCCACTCCGAGCGCAGCGGAGCCCGATGTAAGGCTCGATCCCATGACCCCAAGATCATGACCTGAGCCAAAATCAAGTCAGGTGCTTAACCGACTGAGCCACCCAGGCACCCCTTAATGTTCTAAAATAAAATGTTTATTTAAATTAAGAAAGCATAATATGACTAAATGCAATATGGTATTCTGTATTGGATCTTAGAACTGAAAAAGGACACTAGTGGAAAAACTGGTGCAGTTTGAAGAGTCTGGACTTTACTTAATAGTAATGTACCAGGGTTGGTTTCTTAGTTTTGACTAATGCACCAAGGTAATCTAAGATGTTAACATTAGGGGAAACTGAGAAAGGAGTATATGGGAATTCTGTATTATCTTGCAACTTTTTTGTAAATCTAAAGTTATTCCAAAATAAAAATTTTATTTAAAAGAAAGTAATGCAGGGTAGCCGGATTTATGAGCAAACTATCTGCTTGGACCACCCTAGGTAACTTACATGATGGCATTTGGGACCCTGCGATAGATCTTTCCCTTCATGTTTACACTTCCACCTCCCTCGACCCTGCTGCACCAACCTGAATGTATTTCATGTGCATAAATCTATGCCAGAAAAGTGCCTGTGGTTAACAAGGGGAGCCTGGGTTCCCCAGGAGCACAGATGACTCAAATCTAGAGAACAAAACAAAACAGGCAAAGCTTCAGAACCGAAGGGAAGAGGAGAGCAGTTGAGGGGAGGGATCTATTAAGCTGGAGTTAGCTCAAAGCAAAAGACAGTTAAGATTTTTGGGGGAAATAAGACAAAGATTTCGGGCTGGGAGGAGAGGACCAGAGACCAGGGAAAATGTTGCCACAGAGGGTACTCCATTTTCTCTGCCTTACCTCTGGCTTACTTATAAACTCTGTTGCCCATATAATGCTTGCTGCTGGTAATATCAGATGAACAAAGGTTGGCCTGAGATCAAGTGGCTGCCATGAGTTACTAGGAAGGGTGGAGCAGACAGGGGTTAGGGTGAGAAGGGGCATTTCTAGGGCCACAGCCACAAGACAGTTCCAAGTCTCTTACTTGTTTCTGTGAGCATCTTTCTCCGCCAGACTGTGAGCTCTTCTGGCACAGGAATGTTGCCTTATTCTTCTCTAGTCCCGGCAGCGCTCTGTATATAGTAGGTGTTCAATAAACATCTGCTTAATGAATAAGTCAGAGAGCTAGAAACCAGTAAAACTGGAAAGGCTTTTCTTTTGAGAAGTTATGGGGAAACATTAAATCCCAAATAGGTCTTTACCTTGAATCCTCATAGTAATTGAAGTTATTTAAAAATATTCTAACCCTTGGAAAAGACTGTTTTTCTTTAATTAAAAATAACTGAAATGCTTAAAAAAATATTCTGATGATTTTTTTCCACGAGTGGGGATATCTGCCCTCTGATTCTCAAAATTACACAACTGAAATCAGGATCTGAGGGATAATATATTGTTAAACATATATTTCAAAGAATAAAAAGTCACTGCCCAGCTGTACCATTTGAAGATCAGAGAAAGTGGCATGATAAATTATGTTGAGTCATTAATTATTTTAATTCCAATTAAGGTAAATGAGAGGGAAAAAAAAGCCCAAAATGACTTTTCAAAGAGCTTTTAATACACAGAAGGAAAAATTGGAAAATAAGAGAATATGGTTACTTTCTTTTTTTTCAAAAGCTAGGTTTATTCACTTTGATTGTTCACTGCTCTAAGATGGTAAGATTGTACTTAACTTTTTTTTTTAACTATTAAAATGTTCTCTTTTCTGAAGAGGTGATGGTAGATGGTTTAAAGTGTCAAGTTGGCAAAAAAAAAAAGGTTGGGGCCTTATGTCAATCCCTAAAAGGCTATTCATCCATGAAATCTCAGATGTCTAGAAAGCACTTCTATATACTTTTTTATCGGGGAAGAGGGTCTAGAGGGCACCCAGGGATTTGGGAAAGGCAGTGAGAAATGTACATTTGTTGAGAACACCTACCTGCTAGGCACCAAGCTTTATACATACATGATTTCTCAGTAAATCTTTATAATTTCAGTTAGGTGTTCTCATACATAAGGAAATGGAAATTAATATAGGATAAATAACTTATCCAAGGAATGTACTAATAGAGGGAGCGAAATCTAAGTTTATCTGATTCTACAATCTGTGCTTTCTTCCACACCACTTATTATAGTGAGTTTCTAATACTCATTTTAGGGAGAAATATTAATCAGTTTTTCTTAGTATACACCTTGATTCTATGTTTTCAAATTCACCTTCGGACTTGTAAATCTGCGTGATAGCAAACATTTTAAAAACTAAACTTAGAAATGTTAGTATTATTCTCTCAAACTTGCATCCCAACTATTTTTTGCCTTTTGGTTCCAGAAACCACATAAAACCTATCAGGAAATATTCATATGGCAATGCCCCAATTATCCGCAATTGAAATGATTAGCACCACAGCAGACTGTAAGTCTTCAGGCAGAAGTCACTGATAGCCAAGCTGCCTCAAAAAGTTGAAGACATCAAATTCTCTGAAACACTAGGTCAATCCATTTGCCAGCCAGATCTTGAGACTAAAGAAATGGACTGGTTACAGAGCCAATGGCTTAACAACTCCATGTGTCAGGTAGAGTACAGAAGAGCGAGCAGAGAGGGGGGAGAGCACAGCACTGGCAAGAGGAGGAAAGCAGCATAGGGGTGAAACCAAGGCAAACAATACGTAATGAAGTAGAATATCCAGAACACTCCAAGACCATGCCGATTAATAAGGATATGATCATGGCTTCCCACCTTCTCACTCAGATACTGAAAACAAATGCAGTAAAGAACACATAAGCACACAGATGAACTCTTAGCAGTGTTCATTTTAGAATTAGAAAAAAACTTTTTCTTAAAGGCACGTGGCTAATGCATTATAACTTAGAGGTCCAAAATCTGGTCTTCTGCTTGCTAAAAATCAAAGTATGAAACAAGACTTTGTTTTTCTTACATTCTTCAGTTTACCAAAGTCATGTGAAAATAAAGTCACATATTTAACAAGTGTTTGGCGACCAACTTTTAATAATACATATTCAATTTTCAGAAACATATGCTAACCATCAACAACATGATCAGGGTTCCATTGCCCCTGATGTTATTTCATTGGTACATTATATCAATATTTACAAAGGCTTTCAAATTCAACAACACAAAACAAAACAGCTTAATTTTTAAAACTACAATGCTTTAAAAAAATGTAAACAGTTCATTTTTACATTGTTGTAAAAAAGAAGACTCACTCCTTAATGTGGCTTAATTTTTTTAAGTGAGCAAAGCCTGGTGCTCATGGATAAAGAATCAAAGGAATTCTTTACATAGAAACATTGTGCTCCAGTGTGGCAAAAAAAAAAAAAAAGAAAGAAAGAAAGAAAAAAGAAAAGAAAAAAAAGGGAGAAAGAAAAGAAAGAAAGGTTATATATATACATACAAAGAAAAGAATCTTAAGCCCACAATTTAGACTACAAAAAAAAAAAAAAAAATCTTGTCCCCAAATTGAGAAATTTATAAAAACCATTTACACATGGTTGTTGACCTATTGAAAACCTGTATAACATTTTCAAAACAGTAACTCAGTCAATACCACTTTTCTGAAAAATGAAGTTTTGTGCAAAAGAAATCGTTTAAGCTAGAAACAAGACTCCCCCCCTCCCTGTAAGAGGCCAAAAGGGCCACTGAAATAATTTAACTCTGTTAGATTTAGTGCATGTAACCAAAAGGCACACACATGTGATTAATATATTAATATATTTTCATGCAGAAACCTGTGCATGTTCACAATTACATAACAAAAACACAAATATAACAAAACATAAAGCCTAACGTTTGGCAATGTTATTCTAGCCACATTTCTGTCTATCAGTCCACGGTTTATAGATCATTAACACTGCCGCTCAAAAAATATATTATATTTGAACAATTTCCAGTAAAAATTAAAAAAAAAAAAAGGATGTTAGCCTGAAACACTATAATATACTTTTTTCAGTTCTAATACATATAGAAACTTACTGATATTTTTATTTTAAATGTCATTTCAAATTAAGATACATTTTTCCTTTTGTTAATAAACACTTTGATTGCTCCAGTGAAGTCAGCAGAAAGAAGAACTTCTGTATTATCTGTCTTCATAATACCTTAAAAGCATAAAAAAAAGTTTTTAAGTTGAATATAAAGCCTGCTGTTGTGTCACATGCCAATGATCCTACACCTTTTCCCCAGTTTTCAGTCCCCGCCCCCAAGATCTTTTGTTTTTCTAAGTAATCTCTACACCCAAAGTGGGGCTCAAACTCACAACCCCAAGATCAAGAGTCGCACGCTCCCCTGACCAAGCCAGCCAGGTGCCCCTCAGTTTCTTTTTTCCAGCTTGCTCCTGTAATCCTTTCATTCTCCTGTACTCTCCTCCTCTCTGAGGCTTACTTCCACTTACCGTGTCTTAGCCGGTCTTTCCCTGGCTTGGGGAGTTTGTGGCAAGAAGAAAAGGACACTACTTTCATTTGGTTTAATTCGTTTGTTCAACACATGCTTATTAGGACCAACTGTATGCGGGCAAGCACTGGCATTACAACAATATATAGGACATAATAAGTCTCCGTCCTCAGAATGACAGTCTATGAGAAGACAGATAATAAAGAAATTTTGTATTTGTATGTCTTGTTTGCATTTCTCCAAGGGAAACAACTGCCCATAAAAAAAAAAATGAACTTTTGGGGCGCCTGCGTGGCTCAGTCGATTTAAGCATCTGCCTTCAGCTCAGGTCATGATGGGATCAAGTCCCGCGTTGGGCTCCCTGCTCAGCGGGAGTCTGCTTCTCCCTCTACCCTTCCTCCCCTGCTCATGATCTCTAATAAAATCTTAAAAAAATAATAATAATAATGGGGGTACCTGGGTGGCTCAGTTGGTTAAGTGTCTGCCTTCGGCTCAGGTCATGATCCCAGGGTCCTGGGATGGAACACTCATCAGGCTCCCTGCTCAGTGGGGAGTCTGTTTCTCCCTCTGCCTCCCCCCACCCCCACTTGTGCTCTCTCTCAAATAAATAAATAAAATCTTAAAAAAAAAATGAACTTTCAAAATTTTCATTTTTAATTCGAAGGTAGATTTAAATGAAGTAAAACTCACAAGAAATAGGTTACTGAAATGTTTAGAAAGGGATACTCACAACAATTATGTTGTAAAGAAGAAATATTCTTCATACACATGAAAACCTCACAATACCCAATGAAGGTCAATGAGGCTACTAAGTGCTGACTAGAAAAAATGTAGGTCAAATAAAATATGAGTACCTACCAGAGGGCATGGTATCCAAAACTTCAGCATCTTCACCTTTTTCACTCCCTTCTGATTTTTCAGATTGTACATCCAAAGACAACATCAAACTTGGGTTTGGAGCAAAGATGGCCGATGTAACAACGGCATTATGTGCTGGGGAAAAAAAATTTTACTTCAGGATAACTAATAAATTTGATTCTAAACATCAAGACAGAAAGTATCATATGCAAAAAATACAAGAGTGTATGTTATAAGCTAATATCCTTTAAAATGAACACATAAGTAATTAAGAACTATTTAAAATCCAAAAATTTATGCTAAAAAAAATATACTACATACAGGCATACCTCAGAGATATTGCAGGTTTTGTTCCAGATCATTGTAAAAAAGCGGATATTGCAATAAAGTCAAATGAATTTTTGTTTCCCAGTGCATGTATAAAAATTATGTCTATGCGATGCTGTAGTCAATTAGTGTGCAATAGAATTCGGTCTACAAAAACAATGTACACTCCTTAATTAAAATGAGGCATGCCTGTACAAGTTCTTCCTTGGTACAGAAAAATCAAAGCCAAATACAAAGCAAGAGTGGTTATAACTGCCAAACTGTCTGTCTGAAATAATGCCTATACAAATTTACTTGTAATACATCTCCACATTAACTTTATTCACTTAGAAGACACACAGAAGGGGGCATTTACTTACCTTTAATACCTTCCCAAAAATCATTACGATCTCTCCTGACTGAAGTAAACTTGCTGAGGTCATGGTAAGTACTCCAGATATAAACATACTTATCTTCTGAGCCACTAACGAGGTAACTAAAATCATGGCTAAATTTGGGAAAGAAAGAAAGAAAAAAAAAATCAGTTTTGGGATTTTTTTTTTTTTTTTAGGTTTCCCTCTATCAGCGCTTCCTACTTTAAAATACATAAGGAAACACCCAAGAGAGCTTGTTGACATATAGACTCCTAGTCTCACTCTCGAGGTTCTGAACATGCAGGCCTGACATGGAGCCCAGAGGCACAAGGATTTTCATTAAAGCTGTAGATAACTGTGCTGCTAGTTAACCCACACAGGGAGAAACGCCTACTTAAGAGATTAAAGAGAGAAGCAGAACACGTTACCAATTAAATTTCTCAGTAATTACTGGGTAATTCAAGAAGAAAGGAGAACCGTTAAGAAAAGGGCTGAGGAAAGAGGGTTATAAGGAAGAAGAGGCAGTTATTTCAGGAGAGCGTCCAGACCCCAAATTAAGAGTTCAAATAATAATGTTATGTAAAGGTGTAAATACAGGATACTGTACTTTAGGGTGTTAAAATGCTTTATTAGCTTCAGTACCTAAAAGGATAAAGACCATGGGTGGGTGGCAGGTAAGTTTCCTCTTAGAAAGCTGACATAGAAGTACAAAAGCATGAATGCCGGAGAGCCGGGAGTGAGTCTTCTAATCCCAACTCTGCAACTACCAGTGATTTTAGACAAATTACTTCATTTTCTGAGTCTTGGTTTCTTTGTCTGCAGAATAGGGACAATTCCAACTCTGTCTACTAAACAGGTGGATAAGGTAAGTACTGCATGATGATAACATAACATGAGCAATCAGTTGTAAAAGTGCAAAGAAACGAAAAACACCCTATAAACATAAGGCATAGATCAAAGAAAATATGGGAGTAGAGGAGAAATATTCTGATCTCTTTTGGGAATTTCTCATTGCCAATTTACCTGAAACTTGCTTTGATCTGGCTGCTACTGTTGACATAACCCTTATACTTCATGGACAGTGACAAATCTCTAAGATCATATAGTCTGATTCTGGAGTCATTTGAGGTTACCAGTATCTAAAAAGAAATCAAAAGAAAAGTTAAAAATACCATCTTTTTATCTAAGTTAAAGTATAATCAGAAAGGGTATTACACACACAGAGAGAATATACCTCAAAACTAGAAAAGGCTGTATTCCACATGAGAGAAAATATATTCTTAAGCCAAGACAGTAAGAATTTTCGGGAGTTTATATATAGCGTAAAGAGAGATGGTTTTGAATACTTAGTACCTTATTTTCTCCGGGTAAAGGTTCAATGCCAGTAATTTTTCTTCCAACTTTGTTGCGTCCTCTGGTAGATCGGACATGTATTTGTGTGTGGTATTTCAAATGCTAAAAAGAAATCACAAATTTAAAATATGAGAATTAGAAGGAACCTCAAAGATCATCTGATCCAACTTGCAGACAGGCATAGTATTATTTGCCCCAATTTGTAATGCCCAGAGAGGATACACCAACTTATATGAAACTGCTAAGTATTCCATTATGTAATTTACACAAGATAATCATTTACCTCTGTATCATAGAAAATACATCTGCCATCGTATGTCCCAATCACGGCGTATTTGCCATTCTGACAGAAATTTGCAGCTGTGATCAATTTTGTTTGACCATCTACTTCATTCCACAAAGCGACTTTTTTGTCAGGTATGTTCCAAAGACGGAGCTTTCCATCCAATGACCCACTTAGAAAATACCTGTCATCCTACAAATGTTGCAAAAGAGAAAGCTCTCATTTTACCAAATCAAGAAAAATTCATTAGCAAATCAAAACATAAAGCCCATTAGAAATAATGTTTAAAATATGTAGATCCCATTTATGAAATATTCTTCTTCAAGATTTTATTTTTAAGTAATCTCTATACCCAACGTGGGGCCTGAACTCACAACCCCAAGGAGATCAAGAGTCACATGCTCTACCGATGGAGCCAGCCAGGCACCCCCAAGCAAGAATTATTTTATTCATGAAAAATAACAATTAGAAACTTCAGTATTCACTCTGGAAAAATGACTTTCTAATTACTTTATCATATCCTTAAACTGCTTTTCCCAAGGTATGGATGTTAATGGATAATGTGTTGGAGAATGGTTGTGTAGGAGAATGGTTCAAGTAAGTTTGAGAGATTCTGGGTTACAGAAAGTTAAAGAGGATTCTCACTTAACATGCATTCTCAATCTCCAAAAGAGGAATAAAGTAGGTAGCATTTTCCAACTTATATAACCAGGGACCTTTTTGGGGGGGTGGGTGGGTGCTGTGGTTGGGAGGGAATCGGTAAGAACACTTAGCAGGGCTAGCACCTTCAAGGAACATGCTTTGGGAAAAACTATCCTGTAATGATACGTTTATCCATATCTTCCTCTGGGATCCACGTAATACTTGGAAAAAAGACTAATGCCGATTAGCCCACAGAACCAGTTATTTTGTGGGAATTTTGACATCATGCCAGTAGGAAATTGCTTCAATATTCAAATTCTCAATCCCAAAGCAGGGGTTTATCAGCAGGGGGCAAGTTGGCCCCACAGGGGACATCTAGCAAAGTCTGGAGACATTTTTGACTGTCACAACTGGGGGTGGGATGTTACTGGCATCTAGTGGGTAGAGAACAAGAACCCTGTTAAACATTCTGCAATGCACAGGACAGACTTTATTCTCTTTACAACAAAGAATTATCCAGCTCAAAATGTCAACAGTACAAAGGGTGAGAAACCCTGCTATACACTAAACCAGGCATACCACTAAGCTGGTCTAATTTTTTTTAATTGAGATATCATTGACAGACAATGTTATATTAGTTTCAGGTACATAACATAATGATTCAATATTTGTATATGTTGCAAAAATGATCACCTAAGCTGGTCTAATTTTTGATAACATAAGAATTAAGAGTAAGGACGCCTGGGTGGCTCAGCTGGTTAAGCAACTATCTTCGGCTCAGGTCATGATCCTGGAGTACCGGGATCGAGTCCCGGGATCGAGCCCCACATCTGAGTCCTGCATGCATCCAAGTCCTACATGTCCCACATCCCAAATCTTCTGCATCCTGAATCTCCCGCAGCAGGGAGCTTGCTTCTCCCTCTGACCCTCCCCCTTCTCATGCTCTTTCTCAAATAAATAAATAAAATCTTAAAAAAAAAAAAAAAGAATTAAGAGTAAAATAATTGGGGTGCCAAAACAAGAAGCATTCCCTTCTCTGCTCAAGACTATCATTCTTCCTCACCTCTGAAGCCTGTCAAGGACAGCCTACACAGAAAGGACATTCTTATGGCTATGGTGTAGTAGGTTCTACTTAATGATTACCAGAAGAAGAGCAGAACAAGTAAAAATAACTTCATGTTGGTCTTACAATTCAGATTTTTATTTACATACATGCATACGTGTGTGTGTATGTATTATCTTCATTTTGCTATTTCTTTTGTAATTCTGCTTCCTTCCTTCCAGATAACATTATTTAATAGAGTCATGTTTCCTAAGAAAACGTTAACACCACACCATCCTTTCCTAGCCCCTCTTAAAAATCCTTCGGATCTACAGAATTTTAGAATTAGGGCTTTTCAGTTTCCAAAATAAAACCAAATATAAGTATAGAAAAACTACTGACAAAACAGGAACCTTAATAATAAAGTACTACATAGATAACTATCACAACCTAATACCTCTCTCCACCCTGACATATTATAGTTAAAATAGAGGTGAGGGAAGGATTTTGCTCACAGTTGCTGACAGGAGTAAAGCCATTCTTTTGCTGCATCCTTGGCTGACAGGATGGGAGTGTTATTCAGAAAGAAGCCTCAAAAAGCTTGATGGTCAAAACTGATAAGGTATCAGCATAGATTAAGCATTTTTAATTTGCCAAAGTTCGTAACCAAAGTCTCCTAAGGGTTCACAATTACTGTCTATATTATAAGCCTGCCCAGGGAGGAAAATTATATTGAGGGGGGAAAAAATGTCATTCTTCTCTCTTAATCTGGGGAAAAAGAGGAAGAAATGTGACTATAACTAAAATGTTGCATTAACATGGCAGTGGGTGTTTAACATACAGAGATAAGGACATGAATAGAAATAGGATTTATACAACAACATAGGGGAGGGTAAGGCAGGTCAGCTCAAGTCCTCCACTTATTTCAACCTAGCTAGTGGAGCAGCACCAGCATGGGACTTCTCTTGCACTTATAGTTACAAAGAGCAAAAATTAATTTAGCCGTACTCATTTGGTGGCTCTAACCTACAAGAACATAAGATAGGTCAGCAATTCCAAGATGAATTTTCATCCTTTGGTTGAAATTATATGAAACACTTCCTTTTCAGAGGAAAGATATTGAGGGATTTTCTACATTGAAAACTAATTAAGATGGATCTCATGATTAACAATATTTCCAGGGGTGCCTGGCTGGTTTAGTCAGTAGAGCGTGTGACTCTCGATCTTGGGGTTGTGAGTTCAAGCCCCACATTCGGTGCAGAGCTCACTAAAACAAAACAAAAAACAAAACAAATAAAAAACCCACAACACCCCCCAAAACCAAAAAAAACCCCCAAAACAGTATTTCCATTTCCAGACATTAAATAGGAATTCAGTATACCTTGTAATGAATTTTGGTCTTTGCCTCTTTCAACCTTTCCATCTTTGTCTCTTCCCACCCCGACCCTTCCACTATTCTTGCCTATATGCTTCCCTATCTTATTTATCCACCTGCTGTCTCCTCTTCTTCCATCTCCAACCTCTCATCTTTACTATGATACATTATTTTATTTATACCCTGCACATCTTATTAAAGATTTGGGATGGCTTTTCATTCTTAGAGTTAGACTATAACATTTCCAGTTCTAATACAGATTAGCAGAATATTTCCTTTTCTCTTTAAGTAGGCTACACGCCTGTAGCCCAATGCAGGGCCTTAAACTCACAAACTGGAGATCAAGACCCAAGCTGAGATCAAGAGTCAGATGCTTAAGGGGCTCCTGGGTGGCTCAGTTGGTTGAGCATCTGACTCTTGGTTTCAGCTCAGGTCACAATCTCAGGGTTGTGAGATTGAGCTGCACATTGTCCGGCTCTGTGCTCAGCGAGGAGTCTGCTGGAGAGTCTCTCTCTCCCTCTCCCCTCCCCCCACTCGCGCTCATGTATCTCTCTCTCTCAAAATAAATAAATCACTCTTAAAAAAAAAATGAGGGGCGCCTGGGTGGCTCAGTCAGTTAAGATTTCAACTCTTTTTTTTTCCCTTTTTTTAAAAGATTTTATTTATTTATTTCACAGAGAGAGAGACACAGCGAGAGAGGGAACACAAGCAGGGGGGGTGGGAGAGGGAGAAGCAGGCTCCCCGCT